GTAGAATTGTAGACTCTATTTCAACAGAATAAAACGCTTCTCTGCCACTGGAGACGTTAAAATATCTCTGATTTTTTATTTTTATAAAAATACATTACTCGATTTATTAAAAAAATAATACTTTTTATTTTGTCGTATTCATAGATATTTTTTTTTAATTACGAGCCGCCACTGAACATTAGTTTTACGTAATGATGAAAATTACTCAACTTATTGTCAGATCACAGTTTTATTTTTTTACAATTCGAATTCTAACAGAATTCTTGTAGACTCTGTTTCAACAGAATAAAACGCTTCTCTGCCACTGGAGACGTTAAAATATCTCAGATTTTTTTATTTTTATAAAAATACATATACTCGATTTATTAAAAAAATAATACTTTTTATTTTGTCGTATTCATAGATTATTTTTTTTTTAATTACGAGCCGCCACTGAACATTAGTTTTACGTAATGATGAAAATTACTCAACTTATTGTAAGATCACAGTTTTATTTTTTTACAATTCGAATTCTAACACATTTCATGGTGTTTAAAAGTCTTTCAATAACACTATTTTAGACATTGTTATAAAAAAAAATACGGGTTTCAGGCATTATGTAGAATTGTAGACTCTATTTCAACAGAATAATACGCTTCTGTGCCACTGGAGACGTTAAAATATCTCTGATTTTTTTATTTTTATAAAAATACATATACTCGATTTATTGAAAAAATTATACTTTTTATTTTGTCGTGTTCATAGATTATTATTTTTTTTAATTACGAGCCGCCACTGAACATTTGTTTTTAATTTTAGAATGAAGAAATTAATTAAAAATGAAAGTTGCTTAGTTTAGCTTTTATTTGTGCAATTATTAAGATAATTAAAACTATTTAATCATCTGAATTATCCTAAAATCACGAGCCGCTACTGATTTTAAGTAGAACCACTCAAAGAAATTATTAGTTTTTGTTATACTAGATGAATAAAAAGTATGCAACCATAAGCACTGTAAAAATTTTTTTGAGTAGACTAGATTTTAGCAATATAAAATGTCTACGCCACTGGTGACGGTAAAGACTTTAATCAAATAAAAAAAAATACACCTTTTGAGATGACTAAAAAGACGTTAATATTTGTTTTGTTTTGTCTTATTAAAAATATTTTTTATTTTTGTTATAATAACTTAAATCGCTTATTGTAGAAATGTCAATTATATAAACTCTACTTCAACATAAAAACTGACGACGCCACTGAAACGGTTATAACAAGATAATAAACAGTTTTTTATTTATTTTTTCTTAAATAATATTTTTTGTTTTTTTGTGAAAATTACGAGCCGCCACTGAACATTTTTTTAAATAAGCCGATTTTATAATAAAGAAATTAATTAAAAATAAAAGTTGCTTTTAATTTTCTTTTATTTGTGCAAATATTAAGATAAATTAAACTAGTTGATTATCTGAATTTTTCTAAAATCACTGATTTTGTTGGTTGAAAATTGTCAAAACATCTTCGGTATTAAAGAAAATCATTTAAAAACACACTCGATTTATTTCAAAAATAATCTTTTTTGTTTTATCTTATTCATAAATTTTATTTTTTTTTGTAAAAATTACGAGCCGCCACTGAATACTTTTTTAAATAAACCGTTTTTAGAATGAAGAAATTAATTAAAAGTAAAAGTTGTTTTTAGTTTTCTTTTATTTGTGTAAATATTCAGATAAATAAAACTATTTTAATCATCTAAATTTTCCTAAAATCACGAGCCGCTACTGATTTTTGGTAAAATTACTTAAAGAAATTATTAGTTTATGTTATACCAGATGAACAAAAAGAATGGAACCATACACACTGTTTTGTTTGAGTAGACTTGATTTCAGCAATATAAAATGTCTACGCCACTGGTGACGTAATCAAATTAAAAAATACACCTGTTGCGATGACTAAAGACGTTAATATATATTTTTTTGTTTTGTCTTAATAAAAATAATATTTTTGTTATTTTTGGCATAATTACTTTAGAAATATCAATTATATAAACCTTACTTCATCATAAAAACTGACGACGCCACTGAAAAGGACACTAAAAACAGGTTTTTTTTTTGTATTTTACACTTGCATTTGGGATTAATTGTCTGTACTTTTAAAAAATCACAAGTTGCCACTGATTTTATAAAAAAAATTAAAACAATATGTAAACATCTAGTCATTTTCTAAATTATAAAATGTCTACGCACTGGAAATTTTTGTTTGTTGTTATTGATTTCAGACATGTTTATTATTAAAAAAATAATTAATGATTTCATTATTATAAAATGCTACGCCACTGGAGACGTTATTAATAAATTATGTTTTGTTTTTTTATTTTATATTTGCATAAATTTGGTATTTTGTAATCGATTGACCCTTCAAAAATTCACGAGCCGCCACTGATTTTAGAGAAAAAATCTTTTAAAGAAACACTGAAATAGACCTTATGGTTTATATTGAGCCAAAAATTATATTCAACGGAATGCAATTTTTCTTTTTAGGAATATTAATTTGAAAAAATTAAAAAACATTTTATATTTGTATTAAAAAATTCTCGATGTCATTCTTAAATAGAGTAAAATAAATCGGTTGCAGTTTTTTTGTGAATTGCATTTTAAACATAAAAATTACCTAGTTTTTAATGCGACGAATTAGATTATTGGTCGCGTGACCTGAAAAATTAAACAGCGATTGGTTCATTTTTGGTTCATGTTACTTTAACCTGTCTTCAATAACGATAATTTGGAAATAAGCATATATTTAGAGTTGGTTAAGAATTTTTTTCCTCGTTGTTTATTTTTTTTATTAATTTAAATGGTTGTTAATTTGAGTTTTAAAGTTTATTGACGCAATTATTTACATAGTTTGTCACTTTTATTGCCAATTTATCCAGTGGCGTAGGTGTTTTATCGGGTCGAAATGAATGGTAGATTAAAACAGTTTAAAAATTTCCTTATTTGAAATTATTTTTAACAAAGAAAATTTCGTCGTTTTTCCAGTGAGCACCTACACCAAGGGCGAGCAGATGGTCCCCGTCCTCAACGACCTCGGCACCCACTGTGCCGTCCTCGGCAACCACGATTTCGGTAAGTCCAAGTTCAAGGCCGCCAACAATAACAATTTCCTCATTACCAACTGTGTAAACACCAATTTTCCAATCTCATTCAGACCACGGCCTTGAAGTCCTCTCCCAATGGGTGGCCCAAACCGAATTCCCATGGCTCATGTCCAACGTACTCGATAACGAAACTGGCCGTCCATTGGGCGAAGGCCGAATCACCCATGTGGTACACTGGGCCGGCCATCGAATCGGCCTTTTGGGCCTCGTCGAGAAGGAGTGGCTCGACACCCTCGCCACTATCAACCCAGAAATGGTCACTTTTCTCGACTTTGTCGAAGCGGGACAAAAACTCGCCGCCCAATTAAAACAAGAGGTGGACAATTTTCTCAAAAAAAAATTTTTTTTTCAATTAAAAAATTCCAGGGGTGTGATTATGTGATTGCGCTGACCCATATGCGAACCCCAAATGACATCAAGTTGGCGGAAAATTGCGATAACATCGACTTGATCCTAGGCGGCCATGACCACGTGTACGAAATCAAAGAAATAAATGGGAAATTTGTCGTGAAAAGTGGCACCGATTTTCGACAATTTAGCAAAATTACGGTGAATTTTGATAAACCCGAGCCTGAGGTCACTATTGAGGAAATTAGTGTCACTTCTGCTTTCCCTGAAGATGTAAAATTGAAGGAGAAACTTGATAAGTATACGAGTATTGTCGAGGGGAGAATGCACGAGGTTTTGGGTTGTTTTTCTGTGCCACTTGATGGGCGTTTCACCTCGATTCGTACATCGGAATCCAATCTAGGAAATTGGGTATGTAACTCCTCAATGTTTTATCACTTTCAAAAACTCAATTTTTTTAAACTTGACCCAATAACATTTATGCACTTATTTGAGTTTTTAAGACCTCTAGAAATGTAAAAAACGTAAAATAGATCAATTTTAAAGTAATTTTTTTTTTTGATTTTTTACGAGATTTTGGTCGATTTTTGACACCCGAAGCGGTCTAATGGCAATAACTCCGGATTTATTAAAGATAACCTCTTACATTTGGTACCGTTGGATAGAAAATTGAATTTTCTATCATATATTAAAAAGTTCAGTGCTCCACGATGAATAGTTATCGAGAAAATTTCTGATAAAGTCAAAAATATCGARAATTTAAATCCGACTATAACTTCAAAACTACTACGAATTTTGCAGTTTAATTGACGCCAATCGATTCCCCGGAACATTTTACATAGGTTTACGTCAAAATGTTACGTCATTGAGACACAGTTTTGCCGCAATTTACAAAATAAAAAAAACGAAAAAATTGTTAACACCCCCCCCTTAAAAACTAGTGTTTTTGAACATGTCTCAGATTCGATTTAAACCTATCTTATCCGATAGATTTTGACGCGCTTATTACGAATTTCCCAATTATTTTGCGCTATCTCTTTTAGTTTCGCCGTAATCGGCGTTTAAAAATTCAATTTTTTTTTTGCGAGATATTGACTTGGCTTTGGGCTCATTCGATAGATTTTCTTATGCTTATTACGATGGTGTTGAGCTTTTTGCTCTAAGTCTAATAGTTTGGCCGTAATCGTCGTTCAAAAAGTGAAAATTGTCAAAATTGTGAAACTTTAAATGCGTTTTTCTACGAAACTATAAGACTTAGGGCAAAAAGCTAAAAACCATTAAAATTAGCTTAAAATTATCTATTTACTGGCGCAAACCGGAAGTCGCTCCGGGTTATGGTTCCGGGTACAGAGCCATTTTTAGTTTTTTCAAAAAAAAATTCATGTCTCAAAAACTATGAGTCCTAGGTCAAAACGATGTTTCCAGGCGTGTTCTCCGGTTAATTTTACATATAGTACTAGTTTTTTATAAGAATAAAAAAAATTGATTTTTTGGTCAAAATCCGATGTTTCGCTCCTTATTCTTAACTTTATTACTTAATATCTCAAAAACTATGCATCGTAGAATATTTTATATTTTAACTTGTTGCATCGTGTTCAGCGCGTAATTTCACGTGTAGAAAACCATATTTCAAGCGTTTTTATGATTTAAGGTAAATTGACTATTTTTACGATTTTACTAGTTGTCTTCAAAAACAAAAACTCGAAATTTTTTAAACTTGACCAAATAACGTTTTATGCATTTTTTGAGTCTTTAGGACCTCTGGAAATGTAAAAAACGTTATATATATATATCACTTATAAAGTAAATTTTTTTTTGGATTTTTGTCAAGATTTTGGTCGATTTTTGGCACCCGGAGCGTTCTATTGCCAATAACTCCGGACTTATTGGTGATAACCTCTTATATTTGGTAGCGTTGGAAAGAGAATTTAATTTTCTATCATATACAAGAAAGACCAGTGCTCTATGATAAATAATTATCGAGAAAATTTCCGGTAAAGTCAAAAATATCAAAAATATAAATTCAACTATAACTTCAAAACCATTACGAATTTTGAAGTTTTMTTGACGCCAATCGATTCCCCGGATCATTTATTTTGTTATTTATATCTTTAAGGTACAGTTTTACTGCAATTTACAAAATAAAAAAAATTAAAATTTGTTAATAAGCCCAATGTGGTGTTTAGTAGGGACACCCTGTATAATATATTATTAATCAGATCAAATCTAAGAAATTTGGTATTTGACACCTCATCGATCATTTATTTAATTTATTATAATAATAATCAAAACCTACTTTTTTTGCAGGTTTGCGACGTGGTTCTAGCAGCGACAGGTGCCGATTTAGTTATTCTCAATTCGGGGACTTTCCGTTCAGATCAAGTTCATCCAGCTGGGGATTTTACAGTTCGCGATTTGACCAACATTGTGCCCATGAGGGACCCATTGGTTATTCTCAAATTGACGGGTAAAACACTGAAATTTAGTTTGTAACACAATTTTTTTTTATTTTATTTTTTTAAACATTGTAAATGATTTCAACAACGGGTTTTTATGCAAAACAATTTAAATTAACTCCAAATTAACTGGTTTGTAGATAAAAAATTAGGAGTGTCGTATTTTTTTTTAAATTTTTTCATGATATTTTATCAAACAGTAAAACTTGAGTTGGTAATTGCCATGAAAATTTGACGAAGTTACACTTCAAAAAAAAATTAAAAGAAGAATTTTCGGTTTAAAAATGAATGCAAAGGAAAACTTAATAAAAATAGA